CCCCACCCCCTCCCCCCCCCACCCCCCACCCCCAAACCCCCACCCAAAAAAAACCACAGGCCAAAAAAAAAAAAAAGAAGAAGAAAATCGTTTACTGGTTTCCTTTACCAAGACTTCACAGCTTATATACCATCTTTCTGGTTAGAAATACTTCGTTGCTGCTCTAACATACCCTCTTTCTGGGTTTAAATATTTTATTATTCATAGATTTTTTTTCCAAAAAATAAAAGAAAACTACAATTGAATGCTGATTATGTAAAACAATCTCCTATTTTCCTTACAAATGTCTCTTCTTCCTTTCCAGGTTCGTCAGATAACAATAACAATCAGGTCTGCTATCTACTCACAAGTTCGTTCTCACTAATTTGAAAATAGGTTTTACATACATGATATATATCACTTTTTACAGGACTATCATCAATGGTTTGTGCTACCTTGCAACTTTCGTATTTGGAATCAATTCTGTTGGCTTGCTACTGTATTCCATTCAGCTCGCATTCAGCTCGTTCATGGAAAGCCCTGCTGATAACATGTCAAGTATGATAGACGAAGGGCAGACGAACTTGACAAATGATGATTCAAAGAGCTCAACAGATAATGCTGATTCCAGAAGTAGCAGCATGCAAGCTGAGAGCTCAGATGATAGCTGACTTTACTAAAGTTGTTGGTAAAGCCATCCACTACTCTGCATCAGATTTATGCCTAGGTTTTATTTTGGGGTTAATTTTACAAAACCCTCTTGAGCAACAGGGGTTTTGAGCACAACCCCCTATATATATATACATATATATATTTTTATCTCAAGTGGCCCCCATAAACTTTGTATTGTCTAAAAAAAAGGCCTCTAAATCTTAGCACTTTTCTCACCGAACCTCGACAAACATGAAACAACTAAAATGTACTCTAAATAAAAAGCATTCAATTAGGGGAAGAGGAGGTACTTTGCCTCTAAATATGACAGGCTCAATTGGGTTTTCTGTCCTTTTCTCTTTCTATAGAATTTTAATTATTTGCTAATTACAGGTAGGGTGCTCGGTGAGAAAAGTGTAACCTTCAAGGGTTTTTGTGAGGTACCCTAACGTTCCTGGGGTTTATGTGAGATAGATAGAAAGTTAAGGTGGTGAAGTGCAAAACCCTACAAAGTTCAGAGGGTTATGTGAAATTACACCATTTTCTAACTATTTCACCTATTTATCTTTCATATTTTGCATTCAGCTAACCAAATCATTTAAATTTGTTATTTGGTTTCCCGAAATTTATAAATTACTCCAAATTACTCATGTTAGTTATCTCTGTTGAATTTCTTAGTCCTAGTTGGGTTAGTGACTAACTGATTATAAAAGATTACGTTTACACCCTTCAAAAACACAGGTAAATTTTTTTTTTTTTAGATTGAAGTTAAGGATGGGTTAGAGGGGATTTTAGGTTTGGGTTTGTATTAGGTTTGGATTCTGGAATGGGCTATTGGAGTGGATGTTAACTTGGGTATATAAGTGAGATCTCATATAGGTTTTAAGGACAAATTTTCAAAACAAACCCTTTTAGACATTTAATTGCAAAAAGCAACCTATTTTGTACTTATTTGCAGAAACCGACCTTGTTTCAGCCCTGACGCTGAAACCAGGTCGGTTTCTGAAATTTTTTTTACGAGACTTCACGAAAGTTCAACTCCCGTGAAGTTTAGAATAATTTTAAACTTTACGGGAGTTGAACTCCCGTGAAGTTTAATTTGCTAAATAAATTTCACGGGAGTTGAACTCCCATGAAATTTTTAACGTTCAACAAACTTCACTGGAGTTCAACTCTTGTGAAGTCTGTTGTAAGGGAAAAAACTCCATGGGAGTTGAACTCCCGTGGAGTTACAGTCCCCAATTGCCAGAGATCGATTCTCTGACAATTTTCTCCTACAACTCCACGGGAGTTGAACTCCCGTGGAGTGTTGGCCTGCCTATATAAGGTGTAAGTCAGTCGATCCTTTCACTTCTCTCACGGTTCCTCCTCAAACGAAAACCCTAGCCCCTCTCTCCCTCGTCCCTAACCATCACCGACGCCGACCAAGGCCTCCACCGCCGGCGCAAGTCACGTGGAGTGTTTGTCGTCGGAGTTCACTGCAAATTAGGGCATCGACTAATTGAAGGTAAATTCTTCTAAATTTTTTTTCTTTATTTCTTGTATATTGTCACTATTTCATGGTGATCTCATGTGAAAAATTAGATTTTAGAAATTAATTGTGAATTGTTGATGATTTTTGTGAAGAAAAATGGGATAATTTTGTGGATTTAGAGGGGGAATTATAAAAAATATAAAAATTAGTGTTACTACATATTTAGGAACATCGATATATGAATTTGGGTTAAATTATGGTCATCTAAAATTGATATAGGATTTAATGGTTAGTAACAATTAATTTCTAAAGTTTTTTTTGTGTAATATTGATCTTTTCAGAGGTAACGATGAACGATCGAATCGTAATTCTTTGTTCTTATGATGGGAGGATTAACTACGTCGAAAATAATATGCCCGTTTATGAAGGAGGTGCGACGAGACCATTGTTTATAATAAAATCGTGTACTTTCGATGAGTTGGTTAATGAATTACACAAACTTATATTAACCAACTCACGTGAGTATCACCTAAATGTTATTTGTAATTATCCTGTTATGGGGAACAGGGCAAGCGACATTCAAATATCAAGTGACTACGATATGAGTCTCATTGGAGTCTTACATGACGAGAAAAGAACGATCGAATTGTTCATTGAAAAACATCAGAGGAATTTGGGCAAATCATTGAATCACGACGGAATGTACTCCCGCATGTTGGAGGACCTTGAAGTTGATTCCGTCGGATTTTTATCACCTCAACATGATGAAGGTTGGACACAATCACAATACATGAGTGGTCCTTCGTTTGTGGGCACTTCAAATGCTTTCGATACCAACACCGGAGTTGAAGAAGATAATGCAAGTGTCGAATCCGAGAATGATGATGAAGAGGACGACTTACAAATTAATAGCATGACGTATATAGATCGTGATGAAGGGGACAACCAACACATTGACGGATGTTATACTAATAATGAGTATGTCGTCTTAGAGGATCCGCCGCCCGATGAACTTCAAGGAGAAGATTGGATTGATAACTCCATGATGGAAAGTGTTCCTATTGGTACTAATAGCGGTGATAATACACAGGGTGATGACTTCTCATTCAAGAAAGGGGATCTTTATGAAAGTAAGGAGAAATTGATCCATGCACTTCGCTCGTATGCCATTGTAAAAAATATCAAGTTTAGGCCAACAAAAAATAACACAACAAGCTACAATGCGGTTTGTTTTTCTCACAACGATGGTGAAGACGAAGATCTTGGTGGACACCACGACGGGAATGCGAATTGTCCTTGGAAGCTTAATTCACGTTCGGGTGTAAGAGTAGGTGGGCAATTCAAAATCACGACGTACAACGGACTCCACACATGTAGCAATCCTCGATTGGAGATGAATAACAAGCATGCGTCCTCTTCTTATATATACCGATTGATTTTACCGCATCTAAGGGAGGATCTTGAGCTACGGTCGAAAGATATCCGTCTTTTAGTGCATAAAGCGACCAACTTGGATGTATCATACAATAAATGTTGGAACGATAGGAGGAAGGCGATGATAAAAATATTCGGGGATTGGGACAAATCTTATGAGATCTTACCTCATTATCTTGAAGCACTCAAAAGTGAAAATCCTGGGACTGTATATGAAGTTTCGTCAGACCCTCTTGATGGCGAAGAACGACGATTCACAGGTGTGTTTTGGGCATTTGGCCCAAGTATTGCGGGTTTCCAATATTATCGTCCTCTTCTTAGCATTGATGACACCCACTTATACGACAAGTACAAAGGTGTTTTGCTTGTTACCACCGGAGTTGACGCGAATGGCGGTTTGTTTCCTTTGGCGTTTGCAGTGGTTGATATTAAAAACACAGAGAATTGGATGTGGTTTTTTGCATGCATTAGATATTATATCACTAGTGTGGGGGCGCGACCGATTACATTCATATCTGATAGGATGAAAGGAATTCCAAGAGCACTCCAACAACATTTCCCGTCATCACATGCACATCGTTATTGTTTGCGACATATTAAGGACAACTTCAAGAAGAAGTATGGAAACGGTCAGGTTCAAGATCTTCTTTGGCAAGCCGGGACATATTAAGGACAACTTCAAGAAGAAGTATGGAAACGGTCAGGTTCAAGATCTTCTTTGGCAAGCCGGCTGTGCAACAGAAAAATTAGTTTATGACCAAATACGAGAGAGGATTAAGTTTATTTCTCGAGCTGCATATGATTAGATCGAAACTAGTTTGGGACCACACAATATTGATAAGTGGGCTTTATGTGAAGATGACGGGAGACGGTTCTGTATGATGACTACAAACGTTTCAAAGAGTTTCAATGGCGTGCTTAGGGGAGCACGCGGTATGCCAATACAGTCACTAGTTGCTAAAATATTTTGCAGACTTAATAACTTCTTTCTACGACGTCACGTACTTAGTGAAAATATCTGCTCGGGGCTCACACCGAATAATGATGAAATGCTAGCGGCTCGGATTGTGCAAGCTCGATCCTTTCATGTCGTAAGATACAGTTTTAATGAATGGGAGGTCATTGAGGGAATATCACATAGAGAAAGTCGCTCTTACAAAGTTAACATGTTAGTGGATCACACATGTACGTGCACTTGCAATGTACTGCAATTACAATGGATTCCTTGTTCACATGTTGTCACGACTTGTTCTGATCTACAGGGTGGTGCGAGGATTTCACATTATGAGTTCGTCGCGGTTTGGTATTCTACTTACAACTATCGACAAACGTACAAAGAGTATTTTCGTCCACCATATGATAGTCGACATTAGACACAAGACGGGCCACTATATTACCTCCTTTGTGTAAAAGGTCGGCGGGGCGCCCTCGTTCCATACGAATTAGAAATTGTATGGATGACGGTCGTGAAGGAGTTAGGAGGAGAAATAAGTGTAGTAGATGCGAACAACCGGGCCATAACAAAAATAATTGTCCAGCTAGGATTAGGCGTTGATGTTGTAACTTGTGGAGAGCCAGAGTTCCATTGATTTGTTGGGAGATCGTGGAGATGCATGTCCCTAACCGTGTGCTACGACAGTTTACTCTCTCTCAGCATGTGCCAGATCCTGTCGAGCAAATCAATCGTCGGCGGCGACCTACTTCGTATCGTACCGACTGGGCCGTAGTCCGTGCAGCCTACATAGACAGGTGGGCTCACAGATGGGATTTCATCCAGGATACAAAGCCCACAGCTGTTGACTATACCGCGTATATGCGTTGGTATTGGGATATCACACGTAGATGGATCACGCGTGACCCACAGCCATCAGCTAGACACATGCCACGACCACCGACAGACAGTTACATCCCTAGTGGGATGAACGAGAGAGATTACGTAAGTTTCTAAGTTAAATTATAACATTTTTTTATTGAGTTCGTACTTAATAAATTGTTTACCTCACAGGTCCATGCTTTTGATAGCATTGAGGCTGATATTGATACCACCGTGCCTGAGATTCAGGATTCGGCGGCGTTAGGACTACTCAGCAGGATTAAGAAGACCATAGCGCAGGTGTTTCATAAGACTCACGTCGACGAGTTCGCAGGCCGTGAGGACATGTCTCGATCATTTGGCCAGGCGTACACTCGGCGCCGACGGCCACGTGACGATGACGTCTGCACTTCGCATGTCGATGGAGCCGGCACTTCGCATGCTGATGGAGCCGGCACTAGCAAGAACGCAGGGGGCGGGGCAGAGTGAGGGGGAGGGGGAAGAGAGGGAGAGGAAGAAGAGGAGCTATATTGGGTTGTATTTGAACTTATTTTGTTAAAATTTGTAACTTGTATGAATTTTTAAATACTATACTTTTGTGGATAAATTATTGTTCATTTATGTATTCTTCTTGAGTATTGTTTGCTTAGTGTGTGTTTAAATCATATATATATTGTAGTAAATGTTGTTAACAGGTAAATAGTTATATATATGAGTTAAAACAGGTAGATGTATACAAAACATGCACAACCTACTGTGCATGTTTTGTAAAACCTGCAGCGTCACGGGAGTTCCCGTGAAGCTGCAGTCTAAATTTTTCAGAGAGCGATTCTCTGGGAAATTTGGTCTGTAACTCTATGGGAGTTGAACTCTCATGGAGTTTTTAATCCTCTAACAGACTTCACGGGAGTTCAACTCCCGTGAAGTCTGTTTCTTAAGTAAATCTTCGTGGGAGTTTAACTCCAGTGAAATTTATTTAACAAATTAAACTTTACGGGAGTCAACTCCCGTGAAGTTTAAAATTATGGTAAACTTCACAGGAGTTGAACTCCCGTGAAGTCTCATAAATTTTATTTCAGAAACCGACCTGGTTTCAGCGTCAGGGCTGAAACCTGGTCGGTTTCTACAAATAAGTATAAAATATGTTGGTTTTTGCAATTAAATGTCTAAAAGGGTTATTTTTGAAAATTTGTCCTAGGTTTTAATGGTATATATATGTACACATCCCGAACACTAGCTTACAGAGGCAAATTTTGAGTAACGTGTAAGACCTAGGGATTAAATAGGGATTAAATAAGAGCCTTCTTCTAAATGCAGTTTATTTAGGTTCTCTTTTTAATTTTATTTTTATATTCGAGGGTACTTTCTCATAGGTTTTGAAGAAGCTGCTATCAACTCTGAACGTGTAATGGGATCGCTAGAGATACAGTGTGGATAAAGTGTGCGATCAATAGCCCATGACTTTTTTTGTTACAAATCCTGGTGCGATACATTGCTCATGGAAATTTTGAGCCATCAATTGTGTTCGTACAAGCAGATATTTTGGACCTCAATTGTATACTTTTTCCATTCTACTTGTATGCGATTATTATAGGAGCAATGGATTTAACATATTTGAGATGGCGAGGCAGAGTATTATAGTTTGGTTTGCCTGATTTGAGTACTGTTGATGTATATGATGTTGGAAAACTCTTGGGTGAAGTGATTTACTATTATGGCATCACTCTGAAGATATTCTAATTTCAAATCTTTTCATAAGCACGTATCGTAAAAGAAGCCCTCATATTTGTACATATGTATGCTAGCTTGTGCCTAGAGGTCATGCGTTGGAACCGTGAAAACATCTTATGAAAATGCAAGATAAGGCTGGTGTATGATAGATCCAACGTGGTCCGGCCCCTCTCAGGCCCTGCTTACGAGCAATTCGATAAAAGAACATAATGGTACTAAGGCTATAATGTGAGGGAGGGGGGGGGGGGGGGGGGAGTCCTATTATAGAATGAGCGTTAGGGGGAGAAACTCTACTGAATCATCATCTGCACCACAAACAAAGGTAATTAACTTGCATTTTAAGTCAATATGTCCATAGATTGTGTTGTTAATATGTCCATCAACAGTTTCCAACAACTCAGTTGGAAGTTCATCCACCACTTCCCGGTTGACACTAAGCGGAAGTTACCCCCTCATGTGTTGATTCAGATGAGGCGGGGGACCAAAGAGAGCCTTCGAGCCTACTTCAAGAGGTTCTAGGTGAAGAGGCTGGAGGTCAACGACCCAGGGAGTGTAGTTGCTATGTCTGCACTCATCCAGCCTGCAGAGCAATGAGTTGGCCGACCCGCTTGCTAAGAAGCCAGTCGCCAACTATGAGCAGTTGATGGCCAAATCTCATAGGTACATGGACATGGAGGACGCCTGAGCCTATAAGGCGGCAGCCAAGGCTGCAGAGACCTCCACAGCCACAACTTTAGCAGCACCAGCAATACCTGCCACCCTGTTGATTCCAACAGCAGCACCGGCGACAGCGCCGACACCAGAGTGGGCCAGAGGCCCTCTTGCAAGGTAGTAATGGCCAAGTGACCCACTTAGGGTCGACTCTCGTCCTAATCGGTCCAACAGGAGGGACCGACAGAGGGACCGGCTGATACGGGTGTATCTTCTCTTCGGAAAAGCGATCCTCATGGGAGCTTGAGGATAAGTGATTCTCATGATATCTTGAGAATAGTGGTGTGAAGCGACACTGCGGAGCACAGGTGGAAACGTGGAACGAGACGGCGAACAGCAGATTCGAAGAATCCAGATTTTAGCTCGTGAGTCGACTCATACATGTACATGAGTCGACGCATCAGGTTGAGTCGACTCATGCCTGTCATGAGTCGACTCACGAAACCCAACCGTTCTGTCAAAAGCTTCTGCTCGGTCGACTCATCAGTTTATGAGTCGACTCATCAGTCATGAGTCGACTCATATGCAGTCATGAGTCGATTCATCGAGGTTTCCTGGGCAGACTTGGTTTCTTTTTTGAAGGAATTCTAGTTTCGTTTGATTTTGGTTATTTACCAGATTGCCACCACGTTGTAAACCCTATAAATAGGGACTGTTTAGGGTTCTAAACAGTAGGAGGTGAGAGACCAGATGTAGTACTAAAGAGTTTTAGGTCTAAGTGAGATCCTAATCAAAAGGATTAGGGTTTAGATTGTGAGGATCTATGAGATCTTAAATCAGATAGATTCAGAGAGGTAATTAAGAGAGATTCTAATCATTGTATTAGGGTTTAGTGAGAATTGAGAGTTTGTTCTCGATTCTAGTGAGATTGTGAGAGAGGGATTATAATCTTTTCATACTCATAATCTAGAAAAGGTATTTTCCTTCGCCATATACTGAATTGTGCTTGTGTTTCTGTCATCCTCTTCTCAACCCACCTTTGATAATTCTGTGATCAAGGGTGCTCGCACAGCAACTCGTATCACCGGCCGCCAAGACCAGCTGTCACAGTTCTTAATACCTCCCTCGTATTAGCTCTCTCCATGGTTCAGAAGGAGGGGCACCTCAAGGAGCCCGCTCCTAATATGACATTGAGTCCCAAGAACCGTAACATGAAGCAATTTTGCCGTTACCACAAGGATCACGACCATCTCACCAACGATTGCCGTATCCTTAAAAGGGATATTGAGGATTTGATTGAGAGAGGGTACTTGAAAAACCTCGTCTTTCGATGGGACCGTAGGGAAACTGACCTAGCCAAGGTTAATAGGAGATCCTGCTCCCGGTTGCCTCGTCCTCGACCATGCCAAGACAACCAACCCCGGTGCCCAGCCACAAAGGGGTAATCATCATGATTAGTGGCGGTTCTACTGTTGGAGGGTCGTCCAACAATGCCAGGAAGAGATATGTCAAGAGGGCGTTGCGGGTCGACCAAGGCGACAAGAGGACGAAGGTAGAGGAGCCCATATCTTTTAGGGACGCCGACCTGCAAGGCGTTGAGACGCCTCATGACGACCCTATCGTCATAACAGCAGGGATTGATGGCTACCAGGTAAAACGAATAATGGTCGACAAAAGGAGCTTGGTGAACCTTATATGTTGATGCCTTCAACCAGATGGGTATCGAAAAATCTCGCTTGCTCCCCTGTAGAGGACTCCTCATCGGATTCACCAGCCATTCTTTTTTGCCAGAAGGGATGATCACTCTCCCCCTAACAATTGGAGAGTACCCTAAGGCAAACCACCATCCACGTCTAGTTCCTGGTGATGAACCTCAAGTCGGCCCACGATGTCATCTTAAGTCGAACTGCCCTCCATCTCCTGCAGGAAGTTCCTTCAACTTACCACCAGATGGTCAAGTTTCCGATTCCTAATGGTGTCCGAATTGCCAGGAGCAACCAGAGAGAGGCCAAGTCCTGCTACCTGCTCTCGACCAAGGGCAAGGGCGCGTAAGACACCATGGCTATTGAGAAAGCTTGCCTCCAGTTGGAGAAAGCAACAGAGCAGTAGAGGACACCAGTGGAAGAGCTTCAGGAGATACCTATTGATCGAAAAGAATTGAAGATGGTCAAGATTGGGTCCTGCCTAGTCGAGCCCTTGCGAGGAGCTTTGACAGAGTTACTGCAGAAAAATGTTAATGTGTTCACCTAGGGACCCGAAGAAATGCCAGGGGTTCCCCCCGAAGTGATTAGCCATGAGCTAGCTGTAGGTACACCAAGCCTATACGACGAAAGAAGAGACACCTCGGCCTAGAACGCCAGAAGGAAGCGACCGATGAAGTCGAACGGTTTCTCAGAGCTGGCTTTATCCGAGAAGTCCAATACCCGGAGTGGCTAGCTAATGTTGTGTTGGTGAAAAAGGCACTGAACAAATGCAGGATGTGCATGGACTTCACCGACCTCAACAAAGCCTGTCCCAAGAATAGCTATCCCTTCCTCGAATCGATCAGCTAGTCGATGAAAGTGCAGGACATGAGCTGCTCAGCTTCATGGACATCTTCTCTGGCTACAACCAGATCTTTATGGCAGAGAATGATCAGGAGAAGACCTCCTTCATCACTGATTTGGACACTTATTGCACAAAATGATTTCATTCGAATTGAAGAACGCTGGAACCACCTATCAGAGACTTGTCAGTATGGTCTTCAAGCACCAGATCGGTCGCAATCTGGAGGCTTATGTGGACGACTTGCTGGCGAATTCGAAGCAAGCATCGGCCAACATATCAGACATGGACGAGACCTTCTCTACCCTCCGATGCTACTGAATGAAGCTCAATCCCGCCAAATGTGCATTTGGGGTACAATCGGGAAAGTTCTTGGTGTTTATGATCACATAGAGAGGCATAGATATCAACCCCGAGAAGATAGCTGCCATAGAGCGACTGCCTAAGCTGCGCACCTTGAAGGATATCCAAAAGCTAAATGGAAATATTGCGGTTCTAGGTCGCTTCCTCTCCAAATCTGCCGAGAGGAGCCTCCCATTCTTCAAAACTCTAAGGGGAAGCAAGAACCTGAAGGAGAGCATGACGTGGACGGCTGAATGTAGTGCAGCCTTTCAGGATCTCAAGGCCTACTTGAGTACCAAGCCATTGTTAAGCTAGCCCATAGGAGGAGAGACATTGTACTTATACATGGTCGTCTCCTCCGAAGCAGTCAGCTCCGTCCTTGTTCGGGAATAGGAGAATATTCAGAAGCTCGCCTATTATGTGAGCCGGATTCTCAAAGCAAGCGAGCTCAATTACCCCCTTATAGAGAAGGTTGCCTTCACCCTCATCACCACTGCAAGGAGACTATATCCTTACTTTTAGGCCTATGCCATCATTGTGCGGACGAGTCTGCCTTTGAAGAAAGCACTGGGCAGCCCCACAACATCCGAGAGGATGGTCTCCTAGGTAGTCAAACTCAATGAGCATGATGTACAATTCAAACCCAGGACGATAATCAAAGCTCAAGCCTTGGCCGATTTTCTGATTGAATCAACCTCGCCAAGCGTCGAGCCAGCCGCACCCTTGTAGGAAATTCAGCCAGCACCTCTAGTATTTCCCACAGTCTAAACATCTACTCCACAGATCCATCGCACTTCGGAACATGATTCGCCCGAATTCACCTCATGGTGGTTATTGAAAGTGGACGGGTCATACGGAGAAG